CTATAATTTCATTTTGAAAGAATTTTAAATCAGGTAAATTTGTTTGTTTACAAATTTCTTAAAAAAAGAAAATGTCCGCTTTTAAAATTTTTTTTTTTAAATATCGAGCAATTATTTGACATTCCAGTCTATGTAATTTCTATCTGAAATACACCAGAAGTTTTTACTTAGTGGAAATGATAAATTTAATCATTTAGCTTTTAATTAAAACTAAAATGAAATCTTCAAGAATGCTTTTTCATTTTTAAAATTTAATTTTGATGATACCTAATCATAAATTCAGTGGGGAGGCCTAGCTTTCAATTCAGTTTTGCGATGCTTCTAGACAGGTTGCCAACTACGGCTAAAAATTCCAGCCTACTTTACTATTTAAAGCATAGCTAGAAGATGTGGAGTCATACTTTTCTCAATGACATTTGTGAAGAAAGAGATGTAGCAAACTTGATCTGAATTCGAACACGGCTCGCCGACTTCATGTTCCAAGCTGCTAACGTATACACTACTGCAGAGTAGTTGAAGACGAAAAAAATGAAGTCTAAATAAAAGAAAATAAAGGCAGCAGAAAGTGAAAATGAAAAAATGAGTGTAAGTGAGGAAGTAAAGAAGGATTCGAAAAATAAAGTCTGCAAATAAGCGGGAAGAACACAGAAAATAAAAGATGGAATGAAAGAAAGAAACGAAAAACAAACAAAAGAAAAACGAGCAGAACACAAGCAAGATAGAATCTCGTGCAATGTTTAGCTAAAATATTTAAAAAAAAAAAAAAAAAATTGTGAATCAAGCAAGAATGGTGGGCGCCTTCCGGGAAACGAAGCGCTTTTGAAAATAAAATAACATCGATGACCTTGATAACTCTTGCCAAATAAATCATTTAAACTCAGTGTATTTATCACAACAGCAGAAATAGAAGAACTTGATTTTTCTAAGTTCAACCTCCTAAATATATTACACGTCATTCAAAGAATAGTGAAAATGTCTTTATTCTGTAATGCTTGACGCTTTTATTGGTGCTGGATCAAAAATCACGAATTTTTTTTTGTCTTGTTTATAAGCGAAGCAACACAAATAGGCGAAATTCAACTTATTTTTATTTAAGGTTACTTTACATATAAACTAATTCAGTATTGCTTGTTATGTAAGTTTTTGTCTTTCTTTCAACAACTCGACTTTATCGTAACATATGGAGACACAGTAGTAATGCAATAACAACCGTTTTTCTTGCTTCATTACTTTAAGTTTACAACGCTAATTATGTAAATGTTACCTTAATTGTGTAATGCAATATGTGGCAACATTCAAACCTGATTTGTAGATAGGAATGAAAACGTAAATAGATTTTTTTTATTAAATATCCCACTATTTCTAAGAAAATTTCATGATAAATACACTGTATCAACTGGTAGTACGTAAACATCACCTTAACCCATTACTGTCCACTGTCCTAACTTTGTAATGAGGGTTATTAATATGTTTTGTGTGTTGTTTTTAATAGAGTTCATCACAAGTAAGGCAGTGAAGACACAGAAATGCAAGGGGTTAATAGGTGTGGAAGAATTAGAAACAGGATCATTGCGAAGAAGTAAGAACAGAAGAAGAGTAATCAAGGGGACAGCAAATAGCGATTGACATTGCATTTAAATTTTTACAGATTAAAGTTGACTGGAAAGCACGAAACTGGAAGGAGGTTTCACAAGCGAGAAGAGCGAGAAACATTTAATTATTAATTTAATAATTAATAACTATAATTAATAACGAAGTTCTGGAAACCTTTAATTAATACGGAATCATCATCATTTATTCAATTAGCGCGTTTTTGCGCCGCTTTGATCACCCCTGCTCTCCATCTCACAATTGTGATTCACGATGATTTTCGAGGTAAAATAGTGCAAGAGCTTGCCGGTTATTTTGCCACTCGGAATGTTGAGGCTACACTCAGAATTTAGAGAGGCAGCAGGTGATTTGAATTCAAAGTTTTCCTTCTCATAGACTGGTTGTCAACCAAGGCTATAGGGTTCAGTCTTCCCTTCTATTATAAGAGAAGAGATGAATTCATACATTTTCTAAGTAAGTGAATTCAATAAACTCGACTGGAATTCGAACTCGGCTCTCGGATTCCTCAATCCAATCTACTATGCACTAATTCATTTGGCATATTTTTCAATACAGAATATTTATCTTAATTTGTACAATTAATTTTAAGGTGAGCACTAATGAATTAAACACAAAAGACCACTGGAGACCACGTTATCTTTAATCAATATGTAAATATTTCTGTTTAATTTCCCTTTCAGCAACAGAGGTTTGCTTGTCAATCATCTGGACTTAACCAGTTGTGAATACCCCCTCCTTGTGCATCCTTGTTCATGAACGGTGGGGGGGGGTGCGATGGAACAATGGTGACGTATCGAGAGGGTTGTTTTTATGTTTAAAGGATGAGGCAGCCAAGTCGACTTGGGCGCTACATCTTTATACTTGGGAGCACATGTCAAGGAAGACTGTTTGAGACTGGGTTACTCGACCTGAAGTTATTTCTAGATGGGGCACATTTTTTTAATCAATTCACCCCAAGCAATGTGGTAACGTAAAGGGACTACTAGGAGTAAGAGAGAATGAAAAAACTTTAGAAGGAACCCAATCCTAAACAGAAAGCAAAGGATAAAAATCTGCTTCCGTTCAAAAGACAATGAAGGAGCATGAACCGGGCGTATGCGTATGCCTTATGCGCTGTTTTTATTAAACCTGTTACCAAATCAGGCAATTTTGGCTGTAATGCATATTCCTGGTATAAACATATCAGCTTGCGTATCATGATGGGTAGTTGAGGCTTTTACCACTTCTTTACTTTGTTGACACACTGTTCTCTCACTCACGCAATAATAATAATAATAATACCTGGACATTCTACTCTCGAAACAAATAAATTTAAATATAGTCATAACTTAAGAAAATATCGACATTAAAAATCTAATATGAACAAATCTACCGTCACAGTTACTTGAAGGTAAAAATGTTACTTCACAACATATACCGAGCCAATAGACCAGAAATAATAATAATAAGTCTTCAAAACAGAAGTGACATCACGAAGACAATAGCAAATTCCGTCTGATAAAAAAAAAAATATCAGAAATAAAAAAAAAAAATGTGACGATCGTTTGAAATATAAGGAATTGGGGAACAGGAATTGCAAGAATGTAGCATTTAAAAACAACCAATATTCCAGTAATAATAAGAGCACTAGGAATGATTAAAAAAATACTGATAACAGAGATTAAGAAAATCCCTGGCAACTCCCTCATTATCTGAGATACACAAGATTGAGCTTAGGTACTCAGCTCACATAATCAGGAAAATCTCTCAGCATGATATGTTCAATAGCTCTCAGAAAAACCTCAGATTTCAAAGTAAAATTACTTGGTAAAGTTGTATCAAACTGCAAATCAGAACATAATAATAATAATAATAATAATAATAATAAGAAGAAGAAGAAGAAGAAGAAGAAGAATTTGAACTTTGATGTGACGTGTTTTCCGAGGTTCCGTGCAAACGTAAAATGTATAACGGATTTAATAACGTAAATATTTCAGCGTAAATTCTTTTTTTCCTTCCTGATATCAGTTTAATTTTTGTCGTAATTTTGTATTTATTTTTTTTTTATTTCATTAATATTTCAAAAACATATACTGCAACGTAAATATAACTCAACGTAAATTATCCAACTGATTTTTATTTAAATTTATCCAATTACAAATCATAATTTATTTAAATTCTTACTCAAGAAAATCTATGATAAAAGCGATTATACTTCTTAAAATGTATTTGATACACACACACACACACACATATATATATATATATATATATATATATATATATATATATATATATATATATATATATATGAATTTCATACATATATATATATATATATATGGCGTTTTTTATGGCTTAACAGGCTCGAAAAACGACGCGAGTATAATTAGGGAGGGAAGATTTTTATTGGTCGAAAAATAGAAACACTTTAAAATATTATTTTATTTTTCGACCGGAACTCGTGCGTCGGGCCTATGCATAAACGACGATAATGGTCATTTTGCGACGGGGACTTGTCCCGTTCACATCCGGCTCTCGCTCTTGAGTATGTTAGTTTATTTGCCTGCAAATCAGCCGAGATATGTCTGATTTTATTTTATAACAGTTGCCATCATTACTATTTCAAAGTTAGCTTCTTTTTTTATCTGTTTCTCTTAACGGCGTCTCTGAATTACAAAATAGTTTCCTCGTAGCAGTCATCGAAGTAAATTGCTGAAAGTTACAAAACGGGTACCGCTGATAGGAAGAAGAAATGAAGCAGAATCCAATAATAATCATCATCATGATAATAATAATTGTAAATAGTAATGATGATAATAATATGTGCACTTGTACATATATATATATATATATATATATATGTGTGTGTGTGTGTGTGTGTGTGTGTGTACAGTGATTAGTATAAAGCTACAAATTAAATTTTAGATTAATAATATTTTAATTTTAGAGATACATTATTAAGTCATGTGTTGATATACCTAATATGTAATTGGTACCTAATAGTTTTATTAATTTTTGAAGCAAACCTTATTTTTTTATCTGATTCGAGCAGAGCATGAGACAGTTTAGAAACTTTTATTACTGACTCTACTAGCCGTGACACGTTGGGTCACTGAAGCTTCAGGTTATAAAACATTGAATTTGATTTCAACACTGAAAGAAAAAAAAAGAAGTAAATTATCTGTTTGAAGGAAGTTGAAATAAAAATACTTAATATATAAACAACTCGTATTTTTATTCACTTTGAATTACATTAATCAGATTAACTTATAATTTTTTAAGTATTTTTAAGTATATTTTTTTAAATATGTCAAGAAATATTTTTAAATCATATTCACTTGAAAATATACATTTTTTTAAATATGGCAAGAAATATTTTTTGTTTTAATATTTAAAATATTGTTTATTTAATGAAAGCTGAAATCACGCAATAACAAAGATGAAAAGAGAGAGAGAGATGGAAAGAGAGAGAGAGATGAAAAGAGATGGAAAGAGAGAGAGAGATGAAAAGAGAGCGAAATAGAAAGAGAGAGAGATGAAAAGAGAGAGAAATAGAAAGAGAGAGAGATGAAAAGAGAGAGAGATGGAAAGAGAGAGGGATGAAAAGAGAGAGAGATGAAAAGAGAGAGAGAGAAGGAAAGAGGGAGAGAGATGGAAAGAGAGAGAGAGTTGGAAAGAGAGAGAGTTGGAAAGAGAGAGAGTTGGAAAGAGAGAGAGTTGGAAAGAGAGAGAGAGAGAGAGAAATGGAGAGAAACTTAAATAATTATGCGGCAGACGGCCAATGTATGCCCGATTCGCAGACGTTTAGTATTAGATAGATAGATAGATAGATAGATAGATAGATAGATAGATAGAAAGAAATTGCGATAGATAGATAGATAGATAGATAGATAGATAGCGAGCGACCTGAGACGTCTACACAGTACTGATATATTTGAAAAATACATATTTTCCTTATTGTTAAACAGGCGGCTACTACATCTGTATACATAAATATATATTAGTCACCTGAACAGATTCGGGACGCTGATTTTAGCCATTTTTAGACTTCTTTCATCACCATGAAATTCTCTTTATCAAGAAAATTCTTTCAAAAATAAAATATACTTTTATGAAACTTTATTTGTGGAATATTAGCTAAGTTAAAAATTTATTAATCTGATTTAAAACAAATATTACTTAAGTTTAAAATATCACAGAAATACAATTTTAGACACGACAGTAGCCGTTTATTTTAGGTGGTGACAGATTAACAGCTTGGATAATAGACAGAAATTTATCTCTAAAAGATATTTGAAGGATATAATGCGAACGACTTTCTAATACAATTTTTAACTACCCAGTAATTTAAAAAAAAGTGTAGTATCAACATATAATACTCATCCTCGTAAGGAAGTTCTCAACTCCTTTAACATAGCCAGGCCCATCGTTTGTAAGTTCACTTTCGTCAGCTTTTCACTTCATCAAAGTCAGTCAGAACCAAGAGAATAGGCTTACCCAAATAACAGTATGGAACATTCCAGCCTGTTAAATAAATCATTCACCAACTGACCTAAATTTGTAGAGCCGGCTCAACTTGTAATACAGTCGAGTACTGGCTCAAATTGTAATACAGTCGAGTACTGGCTCAAATTGTAATACAGTCGAGTACTGGTCTGTTTGTCCAACTCCTACAAAATTCAGAAAAATATTATCCAAATGTTGTGGCTTTTCCACTTATGATTAGTAAATATAGTCTTTATTTTACAACAATATTATCTCGCCTCTACAGAGTAAGACAAAATTTTAAAAGATTTAAAACTTTAGAAATTATTCAATGTATAATGAGAACGGATGTTGTACACTTATTTATAATAAATACGAACTGCTAATGATGGAAAATGGTAAACAAGAATATTAACATGATTCCTGAGAAGTTCCGTTTACAAGAGTCTGAAAAATTACACTTTGGGGAAACTGTGCATGAGATGAAGATATAATAATAATAATAATAATAATAATAATAATACCATATATACCCAATACTACTACTATTCATAATAATAATGTCAATAATACCATCTATTTAATAATAATAATAATAATAATAACAACAGCAACAACAACAATAATAATAATAAATACAAAAAAAAATTGTTCTCACGAGTACAGCCCACAACTTACACCATAGGCTTTGTCTATGTAAAATATATTTTTTTTCTTTCCAGTGGAAAATGTCATGATGCCATTTTTAACCTTAGGTCCCTGGGCGGGACCCGGAAAGAAATAAGTACACATCAAAAATCAAAGGTAATAAAATAATAATAATAACTACCCTACACACAAGACACTAGTGGCGAGCTTGCGGGCCGCCGATAGCAACTCCAGTGGTCTGGTGACAGCCATCACCAAGCCACCGGCGGGCCACTGGTTGTACAGCAGTAAACGCTATTGGCGGTATGCCAATAGCGTTTACTGCTGTACAACCAGTGACAGATTTTTGGCTTGCGTGTAGTGTAGCAGGACCTGTATAAATTATACGGATTTACTAATATTTTTTTAATATTGCACTCTGTCCTTCTCAATCCATGACCACTCCCAGTTAGTTATAAGAAAAGTGATAGAGTCTCTCTTAAAAATACTGGAATGTCATTAGCAGATCGTTAGGTATTATGTATATTTTTGAAATGAGCTTTTTTTTCTTTTTTTTTTTAAGCATTTCACTCCAAACAAGGCGGGAAGCCACTAGGACGCAAGGGGTTACAGAAAATTTGGAGCAAGATCAGATAGGAGTGATAGAAGAAAGGATGAGGAGAAGGGTAGTGGATAGATCAAGGCAACTGCAGATGTCGATTGACATTACATTTGAATAGCTGGAGATTATAGCTCGCAGGGAAACTGGAATAGGGAAGGGAGTTCTACAGGCGAGAGGTGCGAGACATGAAGCTATTGAAGTAGAAGAGACGGCTACATTTATGAGTTTCGACAGTGAAGGGGTGAGAGCGTGATGCCAGCCTCGTAGGGCGCTTGAACTCATGAAGTCTGGGAACCAGCGAATGCAGCTCCTCGGAGCAATTACCATGAAAGTATTTGTAAAACAGACAGAGAATGGCGACAGCGCGTCTGTGAGAGAGTGACTGTAGACGAGATGCCAGAGCAGGGCCAATTATATTGCATATCCACCTTTGGAGCCTATCAAGAACCCCGAGCCAAACAGAAGGGGCTCCAGACCATATATGGCAGCAATACTCCATGCAAGGGCGAATTGTTGATTTGTAGATCTGGAGAAAAATTTCCTGGCGCGGCACAGGGAGCCAACTTTCCTTGCGGTGGACGAAACAATTGACTCAATGTTCCATCTCAGGTCAGCAGTCAACGTGAGACTGAGCAGCCGCAGAGAGTTGCTCTCGAGAAGTTGAGCGTCAGACATTCTAATGGAGGGCAGGGAAGAATCTCTGTGGTGAGTAATAGAGAGCAGTTTTGTTTTTGAAGCATTAAAGTTGACCAACCAATTCCTGCCCCACTTCACAACCGATTGGAGGTCCTTTTCGGGACGCACGGCCAGGTTAGTTTTGTCAGCGACACTAGATTTGTTTTTGAGGCAGGAATAAATTGTGGTGCCATCCGCGTAGATGCCAACTTGGGAATTTATGGCGTCAGGAAGGTCATTTATGTAGATAAGGTATAGAGATAGAGTGGGGCCTAGGATGGAGCCTTAAGGAACACCTGCGTTCGTGGGATAGAAACTGGAGGAGAATCCGTTGAGAACGACCTTCAGTTCACGGTTTGATCGGAATGATTGTATTAGGTCAAACAATCGACCCGTAATGCCATAACCCTGGAGATTGCGAAGAAGGCCGACATGCCAAACCCTATCAAATGCTTTGGAGATGTCTTCCCCGTTATTTTAAAGAGCTCGGTAGACAGTTTCAGTAATGGCCGTAAGCACATCAGCTGTAGATCGGGCAAAGCGGAAGCCATATTGCTTGTCTGAGAGCAGATGATGGGATGTGAGGTGGTTAACCACCTCGGTATTGATTAGGTCTTCGAAGACTTTGCCGAAGAGGGGTAGGAGACAGATAGGACAGTAGTTAGAAGGGTCAGAGGGGTCGCCAGAGTTCTTGAAGACAGGAACAATCGAAGAGGACTTCCATCAGTCAGGAAAACAAGATTCCTTGAGGCAGTAATTATATAGTTTAGTGCCTATTCACATTATTTAAGTTGTTCGGACTACTGTCCTCATCTTTGTTGCAATCACCTGAAGAATGTCAGAATGGCCGAAACTTCGTGAATTTGGCAAAAAAATGAGGACAACAATCCGAACAATGTAAATGATATATCATTAGGGCTATGAAACACAAATGATTTTATCTAAGTTAATCGCCTCCAATCCCTCTCTGTGTCGCACTCTTTTTATTTCTCTCTTTTTCTCTTTGACTCTTCACCAAGCGTGACAACATACACAAATAACACGTGCCTTAGTTTTGGCTTGACTAATAATATCTTATGGACTTATTAACCAGAAATTTAAATACTGTTGCCGATTATGGTGTCCGGGAAATTCGGTAACGGAAAATTTGGTAACGGAAAATTTGGTAACAGAAGATTCGGTAACAGAAGATTCGGTAATTTTGACAAGGTTGGAATAAAAATCGATTGAAAATTGATTTTAGGGCTGTTCTGGAGTGGGGATTTCGGGATATGCCCCCTCCTCTATATTTTTTTTTTTTTTTAATAGAAATGAATCTATATAGATTTTGTTTCTTTAGAAAGAAATAACAATCTAAAACGTATTTATTTTATAAAACTTATTATTTTTTTTTAAAATATTAATTTGAAATGAAAATTCAAAAACTTAACTTTAACATAGATAATTCGATTTTATTTGCTTGAAAACAATAGAGTGAGGTAATTAAATAAAAAATTTAAAAAATATCATAGGGGGGTGACTTAGCCCCCTATCCACCCCATCAAGAAAGTACAGCCCTGGTATTGTTGCAATGGAGTTTAACTGCATTTGGAATCCAGGATTTTTTAGTTAATGCTTAAACGTATGGGGGCTAGCGACCTCTAGAAAGTACAGCCCTGGTATTGTTGTAGTGAAGTTTTATCTAGACCCCCCCCCCATGATTAATAATACTTTAAATGATATTGGGGAAGGAGGCATAGCCCCCTAAGGCTCCCTTCTGCAAGTACAGCCCTGATATTATTGCAGTGGGGTTTTATCTGGACCCCACGATTTTCACTTATTTAAAAATATAGGGAGAGGGGCTAGGCCCCGCCTGATCAGTTAGAACGACCCTAAAATCAATTTTCAGTCGACTTTTATTCTATAGTTACCGAATTTTCCTACCTTGTCAAAATTACCGAATTTTCCTAAATTCATGGATTATCATTATATAACGTTATAACCCTATTCCACACCTGTATTTGTCTATTTCAGTTTTATTTTAAGTTCATCAAAATTTTATTTAAAAAATAAAATTTTATGTTTAAAAAAAGCTTATTTAAAATTAAAAAAAAGCACATAGAAAATTAAAGTAGGTCACGACCATGTGATTAAAGTTGAATTTTACAGAACAGACAAATTATAGACATGAATTTAAATAAAAATCAGACAGATATGATTTTTTTAAAAAAAAAGAAAGATTTTAATTTCAAAAGATCAATTTCAGTTCATGGTTGAATTTTACATCAAAAGACCGTTAGAAGATGAAACATGATTTAACGTGTCACTATAAGCAACAGAATTTATCTGAAATGACACCCACTTCCTTCCCTGTCTGCGTCGCACCCTCTATTTCTCTCTCTACGTCTCTCTCTTTCTTTCTTTTTATCCTCTGTCACTCTCTTTCTGTTTCCCAAGTGTGACAGATGTCATACAAGCGTATACACAGATATTTTCGTAAATCATCCAATATCATTCATTAATTTTGCTAATGTTTATTTTAAAACATAAATAAAGGATACAGATTTAAAATTGGAAACGCAGATCTTTTCTCTAAATTCACCCCAAATAAAAGTTACTTATCGCAAATATTAATTCACCTCAAGAAATTATAAATTTTAAATCTAAGTTTGTTTTTTTATTAAATTTTTGGCGCTCTTTTTTTAAATAATACATTTTTAAATCACAAAATTTATTTACCTTGCCTCATAACAACTCCAACCCTCAGAATAAAAAAAAAAAAAAAAAAAAAATCAGGGAGTTCTTCACATTTCATAAGTGCGGATGATATTCGAGGTACTCACAAGAAATTTTCTTATAATTAAAAAAAAGTAAATTACAAATGTGTTTTTGAATTGTTTATCGGAATGAACGTGAACGTAGACCCCATACTTAGAAATAGAAAATCGCTCCCAATTCGCCCACATTTGAGGCGAACGCACTGATAAGGAGAATTTGGCGTGAATTTTAGTAAATACAAATATTTTTATTTTTGGCTAA